TGTGAAGTGGGGACACGGGATGCAAGCGTAGAGGAGCACAGGCATGAGGCGATACGAGATCGGGCACAGGCTGGTACTGGAGACCTCATGGCTGTAAACAACTCAGGAATGGTTCGTTAAAGAAATGCAAGCTTGGAGCTGGACAAAAATGGGTTTAGGGTGACAAAGAGAGCAAAGAACCAGTATCTAACATGCATAAAATGCACCATATTTAGGAAATCTGCATATAACATGGATTCGCAGACCAGTGAAGAGAAAGCAAGGTGCAAAAGCATGTTACCAAACATGAAAAAGACAGGAAGGGGACCCTAGACTGAGGAAGAAGAAGCTATGAACATCAATATCATACTCCCTGTGAAGGACTCCAGATTTTGATGACTTGGTGTAACATCCACTACCACCACCAAACCGAAGTCACCAACCTTAGGAGCCAGAGGAGCAGTGGAAGGGTGAGCATGACCCCAGGGAACAGGCAGAAATTAGGAAGTGTGTGTAGAAGAATCTTAATTTTTATTATTATTGCTAGTACTACTACTACCACCATTACCACTACCATTACTACTACTATGCTACTATGATTATTATTATTATTATTATTACTACTACTACTACTACTAGTTCTACTTGTCCTGGTTTCAGCTGGGATAGAGTTAATTTTCCTCCTGGTAGCTGCTGTGTTTTGGATTTAATACAAGAAGAATGTTGATAACACTATTGTTTTCAGTTGTTGCTATGAAATCAAGGACTTTTTCCAGTTTTTCATATTCAGCTAATGAGCAGGTGTGCAGGAGCTGAGAGGGACAACTACTGCTACTACTACTACTTCTTTTTCTGTAGAGAAATGTTAATTTCTTTTTTTCTGTGAGAACTGGATCTGGACTAACAATGAGTCTTGCATTAGCCTGTTTTCAATTACACTAACAATTCTTGGCTTTGTACATCAAGTGCGTTTGCTTTTAGCCCATAAATGAGATACTGATCATAACAACACATGTGGCCCTTTGTAGCAGTGGCAGTGGGAAGCCACGTGGGACTCCACCAGGCATCTCCACTGAGACCTGTGGTCTCCGCTGGCACTAAGCTACTATGCGTAGGCAAGTGCATTGAGCTCCCAGCTTATGCAGACCCTGGGGTGCCCAGTGACACTCAGCACACCCTAAAGCAGTTACCCAGCAGCTGCTCGCCCAAATCTGACCCCAGGGAAGAAGCATCCAAAGCAACTCAATCCCTGGAGATAGGTTGCACAAGGCAAATCAGCTGGAGGGAGCAAATGCAGATGCACCCAGCCACCCACCCATCCCGTTCAGGACAAGGATACAGGCAGGGCTACAGTGAGGGGAGAGAGTTTCCCCACAAGTCTTCTGAGGAGCGGCTGAGGGAGCTGGGGCTGTTCAGTGTGGAGAAGAGGAGGCTGAGGGGAGACCTTCTTGCTCTCTACAACTACCTGAAAGGAGGTTGTAGAGAGGCAGGGGTTGGTCTCTTCTCCCAGCTAACTAGCGATAGGATGAGAGGAGATGGCCTCAAGTTGCATCAGAGGAGGTTTAGATTGGATATTAGGAAAAATGTCTCTACTGAAAGAGTGGTCAGACGTTGGAATAGGCTGCCCAGGGCAGTGGTGGAGTCCCCATACCTGGAGGGATTCAAAAAACATGTAGGTATGGCACTTCAGGTCATGGTTTAGCAGGCATGGTGGTGTTGGGTTGACAGTTGAGCCTCATGATCTTACAGGTCTTTTCCAACCTTAATGATTCTATGATTTTCTGCACTGTCACGTGTACAAGTACCTCCTGCAAGGACAAGGTCTACACGTTTACATGGGACACCTCAAAAGGCTTTCTGGAGAGATCGAGGGATCTGCACAGCCAGGAACATGGTTATTGGTGTAGGAAAAGGTTGCAGAAAATGTACTAAAGGGTTGAATCCCTGGACACATGGTGAAGTACGCCGTAGGGGGGAAGGGTCAGTATGGCTCTTCTAACAAGCAGACAAGACCCCCTAACATATTGCAAGTACTCCAGGGGCTGGAAAGGATTCTGGCTGTGGCAGATCTGGGTGATAGAGTCTACTGGGATTCCCACAGGCTCTGAGCAAAATCCCCAGTGAAGGTCATCAAATAAGCAGCCACAAAATGAGAGTAAACTTCCACACACCACTGAGTAATTGAATCGTAAGGCTGTCCCTTACAGTGAACCCCTACAGGAATCTGTACTGGGATTTCGGCTTTTCAGTGGTTTTTGTCTGCGAAAGAGAGGGGGAAACAACAAGGCAAACAAGTTTCTGACGATGTTAACAAGGAGGACCAGCTGCAAAAACCTGCAGAAGACCCTGCTAAGACTGAGTCACTGAACAATAAAGCGATAGGTAAAAAAAAAAAGCGCAGTTGATATAAACGTACAGTGATGCACTCGGGGAAAAAAATGGAACACTTCAGTTAGAAAATGACAGGCTGGTGGCTAACAATTATCTCTCAGGAACAAGCTGTCACAGTTGTGATAGTGCTACGACAACACAGTTCAGTGATCAGCAGTTCCAAAAACAAGCTAGATATTAGAAATTCCTAGGCAAGGACCAGAAAACAAGGCCAGGACAGCGTTGTGCATCTGAAACACTGCTGCAGTGCTGATGCCTTGGGGAGCAAAACACTTGTCAGGGGAAAGGAGTGAGCAGACTGTGGCTTTGATTGGAAAGAGGCAATAGAGGGGAGATACGACAGAGGTGGCAAAGGCTTGGAGACAGGTGGGGCAAGATCTGCCCGTTGTCACTTCCAATACGAGATCTAGAAGCAGGAGAAACTGAAACAGCACGCTGCTCAGGACGAGCATCCGGAGGTCGTTCTTCACGCAGTGTGTCATTAGGCTGTGGAAATCACGAAAGCAGGGTCTCCTAGAGCCTGAGGTGTTCACCCATGAAGTTCAAGAAGTGTTTTTTTAACTTGCATGAAGCTTGGGCAGCTGGGTCTGCTACTGAAACATCAGTGATGTGATGGAAGAAAAGAGCAAAACAACCCCAAAACTTGTGCTGCCCCAAGAGGAGGACTCTGACCCTCTGCTCAGGGTGAGGGCTTTTCACAGAATCACAGAATCACAGAATAGTAGGGGTTGGAAGGGACCTCTGTGGGTCATCTAGTCCAAACCCCCTGCCCAAGCAGGGTCACCTACATACAGCAGGCTGCACAGGATCTTGTCCAGGCGGGTCTTGAATATCTGCAGAGAAGGAGACCCCACAGCCTCCCAGGGCAGCCTGTTCCAGTGCTCCGTCACCCTCAGAGGGAAGAAGTTCTTCCTCATGTTCAGACGGAACTTCCTGTGCCTCAGTTTGTGCCCCTTTTCAAGGGGTCTTGTCAGCAAACCCCAGCTTTTAGCTCCAATTATTGTTCTCAGGTTTTTGCAACAAGGTGCACTGTTCCCCCTCATCAGCTAGCTTTTATTTTTTCTCTTGGAAGTTATTATTCTTCCTTCTGAGACAATAGCACTTATTCCCACACATCATTTTCTTGTGATGAGCGTTATTCCTGTTTATTCTTGGTGCGTGGCAGAATCCTGGATCCGTCCCTCCTTGGCTTTTTTGTCTCATGGGGTGGTGCAAGTCACAACTACCCGGAGCAGAGGAAAAAGGGCTTGTTATGAATGGCCAAGGCTGATAAGACACCTGCCTGTGGAAAAAAAAGCACTGGACTGTTTCCCAGGCAAGAGGGTGTTGCTGGTGGAAGAGGCTGGACAAGCTGGTTGCCACCCAAACAACTGCTTCTAAGGTAACAAACGCAGAAGTTAAACCTGGTTAAACTTATTAGGAAGGTAATTTCAAGTGGCAGCACCTGTGTTAGAAGGCTTTCCCATCGAAGCTGGCCCCAGGAAGTCGCTGTGCTGACTGTTTTTCAAGTGTTCCAGAGGGTTTAGAGGTTCTCTGGGCTGGTAAGGTTGAGATTTGGTTTTGATTATTTTTAAGGCTTCTTTGTGGTTATGTATATGTAGTTAAGATGCAAGTTAGCTAATTCCTAGTCCTGGGTTTTATGTATCTGCTCCCTTCATTCTGTAATCGCTGCCTTCTGTGTTGGTTTGTGCTGTTTTAATGCTGTGAATGGTTTGTTTTGTTCCTGCGTTCTGCAAAATGCTTCTTAAAAGGTGATGGTTTTAGATGCTTACGCTGTCTTGAAAAGGAATGTGAGGGAGTACCATGGTGTGTTTGTTTATTGTGGTGGGTTTTTTTGTTTTGTTTTGGGTGGGGTTTTTTTTTTGTTTTGGGTGGGGGTTTTTTTTTGAGTTTTGGGTGGGGTTTTTTTTTTGTTTTGGGTGGGGTTTTTTTTTAGTAAATTACTGTAAAAATCCTCTTAGCCTCTGGGTGGGTGGAGGAGGCTAGGGCGTGATTATGTGAAGTGTATTTTATTGTTCAAGTCAGGTCTCCTTTGGAGACCTCAGCTGTGGGTCTCAAAGGCCCGGATGCACATAAACCAAAGAAAATGCATTTTTCTCCAAACATACACCTGAAAACAAGCTGGGCCTCCTGCAGCTCATGGTCCACACAAGTTGTCTGTGTGCTAGTGCATTTACCTGCCTCCTCTGAACCACTAGCTGAAGAGACCCCCTAATTAGCAACGTCTAGCTGCAGAAGGCTTGGGAGATGGAAGCTTTGCCTGAAACAGTGGGGTGGCTTAATGAGAAAGGACCCCAGTTTGAAGGGGTCTCACGCAGCAGCCCTTTTCTGCTCAGGGTTGTTTGAGGTTAACAATTGCACACCCCAAGCTCTAAAAAGTCTGTTTTAATCTGATGCAGCACTGTCCAGAAGACAACACATAGATGACCTTGCAGCCTTGCTTGGAGAAGTTGTGCTTGTGTCCTTGGTGCTGTGAGCTGCTGATGGTCTGCTGGTGGTCTGCTGGTGTGCCCTGGCCAGCACAGCACCTCATTTACTACTGCTCAGAGCCAAACCCCTCCTGTGCTGTCCCCTTTCTCTGCAGCTCTGTCACCTCCTAGCTCCCCCACCTGACTGGGCTGGCTGTGGGGATGGGACTGGGGCAGGCACTGCTCGTGCTGTCGGCTGCCTGTGCGGTGATGCCTGCGAAGGACCCTTTGCTGAACATCTGTATGGATGCCAAGCACCACAAAACCAAGCCTGGCCCAGAGGGGACGCTGCATGGCCAGGTGTGACTCCGCTGATGTGTTGGGTGGGATGGTTGGGGTCTCCTGTACCTGCCTCCACAGACGGTGTGGGTTGGTATGTGCTTTGGGCTTAGCAACCATTTTCCAGAGGAAGAAAGCCTGTACTGGTATGGGGCCTGTTTATTTGCTGTTTTCTTCCAGCAAAAGCCTAGGGCAGATGCAGTGGTGTGAGGATTTCTGTCAGCCCAGTGTCACCCCTTTCTAACCAAGATGCCTCCCCTTCCCAAAGCTTCAGTACCCACATCAGAACAAGGTAAAGGATGGCAAGAAAAGACTCTTACCTGTTCCCTCTTTCAGTGTTAGAGACTATTCTTGCTGACTGAAGAGCTCTGCCTCCAGGTCCTTGGTGGAGATGGGGCTAAGAGCGAGAGAAGGGAGCTTGCTTCTGTTCCTCAGGCTGGCACTAATTCCTGGTGAGGATCTGACCTGCTCCTGCTGCTCTTCCAACTCCACCTTGCTGCAGGCCTGAACTCTTCAGTCCAAAGTGCCCAAGAGTTTGCTGGAGGAGAGAAAACCCCCTTGCTGCCGCAGCTTTCTTGCTGTAGGCTATGCAGGGAGCTGGCACCTGCAGCATCCTCTGACTCCCTCAAGCTGCTGCCTGCCCTCCCTGACCAGCCTGTCTCTTGCTCTGTTGTAGTGTGCTCCCTGGAAGGACAATGCCTGCTGCACAGCCAACACCAGCTCAGAAGCCCACAAGGACCAATCCAACCTGTACAACTTCAACTGGAACCATTGTGGGCAGATGCCACCCAAGTGCAAGCGTCACTTCATCCAGGACACGTGCTTGTATGAGTGTTCACCCAACTTGGGGCCCTGGATTGACCAGGTAGGATTAGTTCTGCTGTGATTAGGACAACAGAACTTGTGCTGGCCACAGAATACTTCACGTGCTGGTCCCCCATACACTATACCCCTGGCACGCATGGGAGTGTGCTTTCCAGGGACACTGCAAGCTTTCCTGCTGGGTCCAAAGATTCAAAGGACTTTGCTAGCCTCTGCTTAGGAAGCCAAGCAGGCTGATGGAAGAATTTCTTGTTCATAGGATCAGAGAATGCTTTAGGTTGGAAGGGAGTGCTTTGGATTGGAAGGGATCTTTAGAGGCCATCTAGCCCAAGCCCCCAACAATCTTGCTGTCAAGGCATGTCTCTGTTCTGAGACCAGCTCTGGAGCCCAGTGGAAGAGGATGGGGAGGAACCTGGGATGTGACAGATCCTGCCCCGTAACTTTCAAGCTCTACCACTGTTGTGCATGGTCCTGTTCCCTTGCAGGCTGACAGCAGCTGGCGTCAGGAGAGGATTCTTCACGTGCCGCTCTGCAAAGAGGACTGCGAGGAGTGGTGGGAGGATTGCAAGGACTACGTCACATGCAAAGAGAACTGGCACAAGGGCTGGAACTGGGCAACAGGTTGGTGGGCTGTGTGGAGCAAGCATCTCCTTACCCCTGTGGGAAAGCCCCTGGCAGGGTCACTGCTGCTTGCCCAGTGGCTGGAGCCAAGACCTCCAACTGCTCTCGCCTGTCTGTGGGGTCGCTGACTAGAAGGTGGCCAAGCCACCATCCATCAGCTAAGATGCAGCGATGGGCTGTGGGCAGCTGGGTGGCCTGCTCCTTCCAGGTGAAGGGACATAAGTGAAATGTGCTTTCTCATCTTGTTTTCTGGTACTGTCTGTCTTCAGGAACAAATCGCTGTCCTTGGGGCTCCATGTGCAGACCCTTCAGCCACGTCTTCCCCCGACCGAAAGACCTGTGTGAGAAAATCTGGTCCAACTCCTACAAATACACCACAGAGCCCCGAGGCAGCGGGCGCTGCATCCAGATGTGGTTTGACCCTGCCCAGGGAAACCCCAATGTTGTTGTGGCGAAGTACTATGCTTGGAAGAAAAGATCCTCCCCTGCTGGGATGGAGAACCTGAGTCCTGAGACCGACAAAGCTGTGTATGCTCTGCCATGGCCTGTCCTGGTCCTGCTGCCTCTGGCCCTTGTGATGATCCCGGATGGAGCCAGGGGCCACGGACTCCGTGGATGGGGGTCCCTGTAACTGCTCCCTGAAGGGACCTGGCTTGGACTGCTCCAGCTGCCCCACGAGAGGAGGTGGCATAGGTAACTTAGGTCTGTCTGTTCAAACTGGTCACACACCATAGTAAGTTCTCTGTATGAGTTACGTTGTTGGACCTTGGTACCTGCCTCTACTTTCAGCTGCTGACAAAAGCAGTTATTTCCTTGCCATCCTATGAAGGGCAATACTATCTCTGCTCTGATGTAGGAGCTCCTTCACCTCTGCTCCCACCCTGTGGCTGTGTGCTGGGCTGGCAGTGCTTGCTCAAGGTCCTCGGCTGAGCTCTGGTGTCTGCTCCTTCAGACTGCTCTGTCTGCCTGAAGGGTGGGGATGATAATAAAGAATTCCTCTGAATCAGCCTTGCTGTACTGAAGTCAAATGCTGTTGAGGAGGTAGAAGTGCTCTGGGGGTGGAACAAGGCTGCTGGCCTGGACTGGGAGGTGGTAGGTGTGGGATCTGTAAATGCAGGAGTCTGCCAGGAAGGACTTATCTTCCCGGGTGGGTGAAGATCTCCTGGGCACTGGCAGCACCTCAGCTGCTGTGCTTTCCTGGAGGAGGTGCAGAGCTGCCTGCATGTCCATGCTGGGACTCCTGCAGCAGGCCACAGCTAGGTATGAGAAGCACCTATAAGGTCTCTCCCTAGTCACAGCCACTCTTTTGCTTCCCCCTGAGCTGGACCTCTCCAAGCTGGATGAGGAGCTCTCTGACCTTCTGTGCATAGATTACTGGAGCTAAATGCAAGTTGCTGCTGCAGCCTGGTGCAAGTGGCTCCTGCTTTCCCAACCCAGCAAATGCCCCTAGAAGCATCTCAAAGAACTGTCCTTGACTTGAGATTGTACGTGGAGAAGCTCTCTCTCCTTAGCTGCAGCTGTGCAGTTCAGGTTGACTGGTAGAGCTTTCCTCCCCCTGCCTATGACCTGGTTTGGGATGAGTATCTGTGTTGCTTTGAAACATTCTCTTCCCCCAGGAGTCAGGGTTCACAGCCTCCCACATGAGACTTGCAGACGTCATCAGTAGCTGTGTAAAGGCTCACTGCTGTGCTTTTGACTTCCTCCAAAGCAGAAACAAGCCTCTAGCAAAACTTCAGCAACTTGTGAAAGGAATGGCGAAGGGGAGAGAGTGACGGGAAAATGCATAGGGCTGCTTAGGTTAGGCAAAGTCCACAGCTGTCCAGTCTGCAGAGCTTTATAGTACTTGAAGTATTTTAAGGAGTCTTTAGATCAAAGCAGCTATTCCCAAAAGTTTTTCTGGTTTATTGTTTTTAAAATGCTCCTAATGATGCAGCCTCTATTGTAGCTGGTTACTCATTGCTTGCTGTTATATAAAACACAGAAGCACTTTCTTACCCTCTCTAACTTCAACATGTTGTCTGCAAAAACTGAAGATCTTCTAGGACTGACCCTGGCTTAAAGTCACAAAGGTCTTCTAGCCCATGTGTGGGGTATGATGTTTGCCCTGTCTGACCCAGGTAGGATCAGGGAAGAGGAAACATCTGGAGCTGATTCCTATGACAGCAATCTCCATATAGGAAAAAAAACAACTCTAAAGGCAAAGCTGCTTGGGTCAAGGGAAATTCTCACCCAGGCAGCTCCCATGGTCCATGCACTTGTTGTCTAGGCAAGTTCTGGTCAGCTCTGCCACTGTGTCTAAATGCTCAGGTACTGGTCTTGGAGGTGTATTGGGATTCTCTTCAGGGCTGGTGTGAAGTCCTCCTGTCCCACATCAATGTGAAAACCCTGTCTGCAGGCCTGTCCCTGGAGGAAGGTCTGACCTCACTGTTTCCAACCATTTATGGTTTTTACCCTTTGAAAGCTCATTTGGGATGAGCTGCAAGTGATACTGCAGCCAGCATCTCTTCTTTATGAGAAGCTTCCAGCTGTAGACACTTGCTCCCCAGACACTTCACCAGTTCTGTTGGTACTGTTCCCATGCTTGGCAAGGGTAAGATAATTTTGCCTACTGGGTGAGATCTGGGCAAACTGACCTGCAGCTACCATCAGTTCCTCTTTCGCTCTTGCTGGAAGAGGAGTTGCTAAGACTGTCAACAGGAGCATAACTGTTCTTGCTGGAAAACAAGGAAAGAAAAGGCTAGGCTACACCCTCAAATTTTTGCTGTGAGGTAG